TTCGGCCCGTCTCGTCCTCTGTAGACCCGGCGGGAACGCGCAGTCTACACTCGCACTTGGTGCCAGACGAGACCCCTCCGAACCGCCTCTTCCGTAAGAGCCGTCTCTTGTGTAGTCCGAGCCGCCGTCCGCATCCTCATAAATCCAATTGCTGATTTCACGACCAACCCGGGAGCCCCAATTTGCTAGCTCCATAGGAACCTCTTCCACACGCGCTACAGGCTGTGGAGCCAAGCCCAATTCTGGTGAGCCAAAATTCGCATAAGTCCTCGTCAAACCAACTTCGCCGAACGCCCAGTCCGTGGCTTCCAACAGCGCTAACAACTCCGGGCTAGGCTCTCCCTTGAGCTCGGCTCGTCTCGTCAATAACTCATCTTGTTCGAGATACAGCTGGTTGTGTAATCGGCGAACATGGAAAGCCAAATCGTTATCATTTAGTCTACAGATAACATGTATTTACCCGTACCCGACCTCCAATACCGACCAGTGTAGGTAGCCAGTGTAGGTAGCCAGTGTAGGTGGCCACATGGATAGACCTGATGGGGGTGACTTGTTTGGGAAGATTATTAATTCGCGGGGAAGAGAGAGATTAATCCTCGAAATTGAGAGCTTTACAAACGAAGCGGACCGGCTACAGAGCCTGCTAAGTACTTGGTCTGTTTGGGCACATGCTTTCCGCGTGTGGTTAGTTTTCCGTGTGCGCGCGATTTCTTAACGGCGTTGTCTTTGCAGCCGAATAGGATTGCAAGCCAGTTATCCAGAGGGTTGGGGCGGGGGTTGGGTAATTACCTGAGGAATTTACGGAAGGTGGTAGTGGAGGAGGCAATGACCGGGAGCGTTGATAGGGGCGCGTTATTGTTAACGTCTTCTTCGAGCGAGAAGAACCGGACGGTCATCCCCCCCAGTTTTTTTTTTGCTCCGAAAAACTATGGTCAAGGGCGGGAAGCGGTCTACGGAGAAGGTACAGTACGTACCGGTCATAATACCGACGGACACGCGCGGACGGACTCCGTCGCGTGCCGTGATTGAGAAAGCAGTGCTGGCGGCGACGCAAGGTGTTAGCCGAGCCACTTCGAGACCCCGAAATACCGCGGTCCGAGGCGTCTCCACTAGAGGCGTCTCCACCAGAGGCACTTCTGCACTCTCCATGATCCGCAAACAAGAGCAGACGTCTTCCCGACGACGCAGACCGCGCGGCGGCACCAGGAAATCAACACCCAAGAATACCAAACGGACGCCCGCCGTCTCATCCGATAAACTTGACGCCGAATTGGATACATACATGGGCGACGACGCCAGAAAACAAAGGTAGGCCTCACTAACTTCCCGACCCTAATCCCCCCTGGCTCAACAAATAGCCAGCCGAAAGTGACGCCAGCCGAATTGGCGACCCCCTCTTCGCCCCCGCCTCGTCCCGCACGACTTCTATCGGACGGCCGCGGGGAGAAGCAAGTCGTGGTTGATCCAGCAGCTCGGGGGCTACGAGAAGGATCACGAGCACCGTCCTCGAGCAGGGATGTGTTTCACGCTGCGAATCTTTCTTTGCGCAGGTTGGACACCGAGCTGGACTCTTACTTCGCTTCGGTAGAGGACAGTAAGCCAGTGGCGCCGGAAGCAGGCGAGATATGACTGGTTTTTTTTTGGAAATGGGTAATGTGCTTCAGGGAGGTCTTCTGGAGTCTCGAGACCGCTGGTTGTTCCTGATCAGGAACCTGCGGACCTTCCAAAGGGTGTGGTGGGCGATCGACCCCGGTGCAGCGAGGGCCTTTCACATTTCTCAACTCTTGTATTCTACTCGTTGTCATGTAGCCTACACTGCGCACGAGCAACAACAGTACACTGCTTCGTCGTTAAACCCGGCTGAACCGCCGGCGAGGACAGGGGAACCTGGTGCTAGCTCACTGGGACCCACTTCGTTGGGATCCACTTCGTTGGGTGCTGGTCAGAACCTGCCTGGTCAGAACCTGCCTGGTCAGAGCCTACTTGGTCAGAGCCTATTTGGTCAGAACCTACTTGGAGCAAATCAAAGTGGACTAGGATCAGGTGGTTTAACAGGTGGTGGCACAGTGTCTTCGGAGTATGGTAATATGTGGATCATTCTGGCAGTGCCAAGAGCGGGCATCATGGCGTGTCCGGTTTTGGCTCTGGGTCGGCTTCCCACGAGATCTGCGGCCGGCGCGGACTCGGGTGAGGCTAGTGAGAGTTACGAGAGCGGTGCGGCGGCAATTACTTTGGGTAGTCTGTTTGTGGGTATGCGTAGTGAAAACGAGTCTCATGTGTTTGCTGCGATCGAGCGTGGTTATGAGGCCTACTTATTGGCCGCCAACCGACGATTGGGACACCGGTTGGTTTCGCCTTTGTGCACGCCCTATCGAGTTTTGAGCAAGCTACCACATAGCTATGTCTTGTGCAGACCGCGTGTGGGTCAGTCGCTTGAGATTTACTTACGAAGCTGTGAAGACCTCGCCTGTCTCAGCACGGCACACAAACAGTGGTGGTTCTTACTCATCATCTTGGCAACCTTTCAGGCCAAGTGTGCCAAGGTCTCTATTGACCTCCTCTCTCCTCTAGATATTGCCGTTACACCCACTCTAGCCCGCGTCTTTATCACAGGCATCGGATCTACCGGCAACCTCCTCCACTATCTATCGCGGCAACAAGCGGCCCTCATCTGGGATCTCGTGTTCTGTAGGACTTGCCTCGTCCCCACGGAATACCACCGCGAAATCAGCGCGAAGGGTCTAACCAAAATATCCAATCCGACACCTGCACGCGATTTTGCCACTCCCAGTCCGGCACAAAAGGAGGAGAAGGAAGGAGACGCTGGGATGACTGATCAGGGGAAGACTGATCATGGGGAAAGACCGTCGACCGCACGTCCTTCTACAGCACACCCTTCCCCCCCACATCCTTCTAACGGACTTCCTTCTAACGGCCCTCCTTCTAACGGCCCTCCTTCTAACGACCCTCCTTATAACGGACATCCTTCTAACGGACTTCCTTCTGTGGCCGGAGCTGCACCGGAACCAAGTGGCGAAACGTTGACAAAAAGCAGCGAGGCCAATAGCAGCGAAGCGAAAAGCAACCAGGTGAAAAGCAGCGAGGAGGCCGGAGTTAAAGAGTCAACCGTCGTCGGGGCCGGAATGTTACAGAAAGAGGGCAGTATTGATATGACGGAAATTCTGTCGCGGAATGATGGACGGACAACGAGTGATATGGAGGATGCGTGCGCGAGTCTGGGTGAGCCGAAGCCGCCCCCGCGAAGTGGGCCGTCATTGGCGGTCGTAAATGAGGTTGGGAGTCCCAGTGCTGGAAACATTGGTAAAGTCGTTTTCGTGTCGAGTGCGCAGCGATTGCGAGAGTTGCTTTCAGTGAATGTTGGAGATGAGGGAGTGGTCAAGGAGATCCACCGGGCCTCGCCGATGTCGGTTGATAACAAGGGCGTTACGGAGATGCATGCAGTCAGGTGCCAAGACTGTACAGTAGCCCCTGAGACGTTTTTGGACTACGATGTTCTCTCTGACGGATCTTCAGGTTTACTAACTCAGACAACTTGGAACGATGAGGGAGTCTTTTCTCTTGGTTGTGTTGCTGCGAGACTCTTTTGTCCAGTACCTACCACCCACCTGTTTGATATCATCTCGATCCTGGAAATAAGACACAATCCGACAAAGAAAAAAGGAGATGAAGACACCGATAGTAATAATACCCCGGGGGTTAGAACGGAGAGGAAACAGGGTCCCATGCTGGTTAAAGAGTTTTCTCAAAGTATACCGCACCGTGTACGAAGTATTCTAGAAACCACTAGTGACGAACATCCATGGCTTCAATCTCTTCTCGCACAATCCATCCGGTCAAACCCCAACGAGAGACCAAACCTTCATGAGTTCTTGGGAGACTACCTGCAACATGTACCAAAGTGTTTTCGCACTTTATACCTACCATACTTAATGCTTACACTACATCCAGCTCTAAAATTCCCACAATGCAAAACACATTTGTTGTTCGGAATTATTAGGTACCAATTGAATCTGTACATTGCGGAAAATACAAAAGTATCGCCCCCAACATCGGTGGCAGATAGCAGGGACGATAATAGCGATCAAAGTTATCGAAGTAATTCAGAATATAAAAGCAATTCAGACATCAGATTTTCTGATGGTCTTCGGCGATGCTTGAGTCTAGTTCAGATTAAACCTATTGATCCTACTATTCTACATCGCTCTTGGAATAGATTTATTATGGAAAAGCGAGCGTATCCCCGGCTTCGAGAGATATCTACAATGTGGCATCATTGTCAAAATCTTTCGGAATGGAATTGGGATAACGGTGAAAAGGTCTGGGGGGAGTTACTTGAGTTCTGGATGGCTGTGGAGGAGTCATGTGGTCCGGAAGATGCACAGGATCAAGACCTTTATTCGTTTGCACACGCGATCGAGAATTGTTTGTGGCGAAATTTGTACCTTGAGACAATAAAGCCACCAGCTCATACCGAACCTTCAGCTCATACCGAACCTTCAGCTCATACCGAACCTTCAGCTCATACCGAACCTTCAGCTCATACCGAGCCATCAGTTCATACCGAACCTTCAGCTCATACCGAACCTTCAGCTCATACCGAGTCATCAATTCATACCGAGCCATCAATTCATACCGTATGTGGGGACAGGGATGTAGAGACTTTCGTTGACATAGAGTGGATAGAAATTGCTACTAAAACGAAATTGTATTTGCAGGGAGAACTTGACGTTGCTATTCTTTTCATCATGGAATGTTTGGAGGAATGCATCAATGACGATGAGCCCGCCTATCAACGGGTGTTGGAGAAGTTGTTGTCGCTTATAGTTCCGTTTGCCTCTACGTCTACGGTAAGCGAGCTTCTAGCCCCCTACTTGATCGGTAAGAAAATGCTTCTTCCCCTGATGGCAATTGCTGCTTCCCTGCAAGCTAGAGGTCCTAGTTCTTCTTGTATCAATGCCATTCTGGCTGCGATTTGCGACTTCAAAGTAGATGACCACTACTTGAGGTGCCTGCCCGCAATTGCTACGTTGTGGTTCAGGGCACTTAGGATAAGGTCTGATGATACTTTATCTGACAATGGTGGATCGTCTGACTCAGATGATTCATCTAATAATAAATCCCGCGCCCTAAGTGCTCTATCTGAGCATCTGGTGTCGACTCTGTCTGACAACTTTACGAATGTAGTCCCACTAATAATCCCCCACTTATATCCGTACCTGGTCGCGGAAGGCGGAACGGAAAGGCTGGAAGCGAACTTAGTTAGAGTCGTGGAGTCAATTACGGCTAGTGGCACGCGCCAGTCGAGCGACCTTCCTCAGTGGAACGATCTCCGTCAGTGGAACGATCTCCGTCAGTGGAGCCACATCCCCAGCATGATTGAGGCGTGCGGTGTTCTGGAACGACTCAAACTGGAAACGGACTGCACCGAAACAACGCTGAGGAGCTACGTCGAAAATGCCCTGCCGTTCTTCCTCAACGTCGGATTCGGCAACCTGGCCCTCACTCCGATCGTAATTGGTTGTGTGGGGAAAATTGTCAACGTAATCTTGGCCGAGGCAAACAGCCCGGACCTCCAGGTTGGTGGCACCAAGGATGACGCCAAGGGTGTCACTCAGGGTGTCATCAAGGGTGTTCTAGACCTGGACCGCCCCGTGCCAGACCTGGACCGCCCCGTGCCAGATGGATTACGGTTTCGTCCGCGGGTGATTACGGCTTTAGCGAAGAGCATGGAAGTTATTCTCCGACTGATGGGTCAGTGCAGGTTCGTGAAGCAAGGTGAGATCGCGGACTTCGTCCAAGGCATACGGGACTGTCTGTCTCCAGCAGAGTATGAATGTCTTCGTTGTTTACTGTCGACAGCCATGTCTACCAGCAAGGCCGACGTTTGTGGGACTGTTTCCGGTAGAACAGCCGTTGTCGGGGGTGAAGTGGGTCGCGTGGACATAGCAAGTTGTTTGGTGCAACTGCGGCGCCAAACAGTGGGCGATCCGGTAGGTTTGGTGAGGTGGAAGGAGCGTCGTAGCTTGGAGTTGCTTGTGCACAAACATTGTGAATCGATTCTGTGTGGTGGCGGGGAAGCTGTGTTGACAGAGACACATCCGTTGCCGATAGCGTTTACGCAGACGTTGCCGAGGACGATGGCGGAGGAGTGTGTGGCGCCCCGTTCATTGCTTCGTGGGGAGTGGTTGACGTGGATTAGTCTGAAAAGCGTGACGTCAGGCACACAATGGGCAGGCTATTCGTATCTGCCTGTGGGCTCGTCAGTTGGACATTTGGTGGAGTTGGTTGCATTGCCAAAGGCGCAGTTATTGGTGTTGTTGAAGGACAAGGAGTTGCGGATTGTACAGGGCTTACTGTTTGATTGTACTCTACCAGGTCCAGACGATTTACGTAAGACTCCCGGCGTCTGGACGGGTGGATGGCTTCGACAGGGTGAGGAAGGCGGCGAAGAAGGCGGCGAAGAATCAGTGAGGCAACCCCCGCTGCTCCGAACCCTGCCCTTTGATTGCCTGTCTTTTGATGTTTTCCAAAACCGCTGCTATCTAGGCTGCCAAAATGGAGAAGTCAATGGTCTCTGGGCTAACAATCTCACGACTACACCCGACCCCATACTCAACGCCATCGCTGGACCCTTCGAGAGCGCCGAAGCTGCACCCGTCTGTGTGTGCGAAATGCCGCAACTTCTCGTCGTCGTACTCTCGAACGGGCTCATCCGGTGCGTACAAACAAATTCGGGTGAGGAAAATTACCTCTGTCTACCCGTTGAGGCCGGAACGCCCGTCAAAGCGATCGCCCTCAACGGTTTTCATAGCGACGACGTTCTTGGACCGGACGGATTCAACAATGCCGCCTCAGACCAACGACTCAAGTCGGGTGAACGACTCAGATCCGGCGAACGACTCAGGTCCGGCGAACGACTCAGATCCAGCGAACGACCCAGATCCGGCGAGCGACTCAGGTCCGGCGAGAGACTTAGTGAACGACTGCCCCTAGACGGCCTCCCACCGCGACAGAGCCCGCTGTTTGGCACCACGACTGAGTACCTTTCTCGACCATACTTGACCGCTAAAACTGAACAGGCCGGCGCCATCACTGAAGGGACAGGGGTCAAGACTGAGGGGACAAGCGAGTCTCGCGCTGAGACTCGAAGCCGGTTGGCGCATGGGGGCTTGTTGGCGGTGTTGACGACGACGGGCGAGGTGTTAGTGGTGAGTTTGATTTCTTGCCGGATTTGTTGTTGGCTGCGTTACGAGAACAGTTGCCGCGCAGTGGTGACGGACATTGCTTGCACGGCCAGTCTTAAGAGCTGCTTGTTGGTGGTCTCGGTGGTTTTACTAGACGGGCAATGGTGGCCGCTGGTCAGTGTTTGGGACTGGCTTGCCGGGTGTACTACGGCCGTGTTCCGTCCGAACGGGACGCGGCTGGCGCTGGGTGATGTGCGTCGTGATCGCAACCATCGTCCGAACCTGGAGTACGTGCCGTTCCTCACGGAAAAAAGCGGCGATGTTCTGGGAAATGCATTGGGCAGAAACGCGGGCACTACTCGGGACCGAAGGTCGCGGGTTCGAGTCGCGGGGCCGGCATTCGCGGAAGGTGGCGGCTGTCCGGTGGCCTGTGTGACACTGAGTGAAGGCGGGATGGCTCTGTACTTCCCCCGCGGTGGACCGCTGCACATGTGGCGCTGGACGCCAGGTCTGGGGCCTTTGACACAACGACCCCGATCACCTCACGCACCGGAACCAATTCGCGTCGAAGGCGATGGCTGTCAGGTCAGCGCCCACCCGCGCTGCTGGGTCGTAGATAGTTGGAGGGAGCCGCCTGGCTCGGCTACTTCGCGATTTTTGGGGAAGCTGGTTTTCCTCGATTCATGCACCGCCGTCTTAGATAGTGTAACCACCGACATACTCCTCCACAAACGATAGCATGTCGAACTCACCCAGCACCTGGAGCACCGTCTCCTCACTCAGGCATCCACCTACCTCCACCTACCACATCTGCAGTAAGCTCCCACACATTTCACTGCAACGTTTTACCCCCCGATGCACGCCACCCCGGTCCCGTCTAGACGTCCCAATAGGTTGACGCAGTGCGGCTAAGAGCTCTGTAGTTAGTGTGTCTGTTGGCTACGACTTTGTCCTCGACGTTTGCAAGCGCTTATCCCGCCAAGTTCTACGTTTCTGCGTTGGTTTTGTTCTTTTACGGCTTTGCTCGGAAGCGTCGCTACCATGGTTCGAGACCGGCGACTGTTTTTGCGAGATTCGGTATGATTTTGATCGTGGCGTCGGCATTGATGATTGAGGCCGTGGGAGACTTGGAAATCTCTGAAGTGCTGCTTCCACCACTGCCGCTGATGAGCCTGATCCTACTCAAGTCCGTACTGGTTGCAAATATGCTAGGGCTTGGTACTTCGTTGGTCGGAGTGGGTTGCTACGGTAGCCTCATGAGGCCACACGTGCGGGTCTCGGAGATTGTGTTGCTGTTGGCCTTCACGTACTGCGTCAGCGTCAACTTGGGGCAAATGATCTCCGACCTACCGGACGACGTCAAGTCCTACTTGAATAAGGCGATGGTGGTGAGCGGCGCAATGGTTACTTGGTACTTCAGTCTGGCTCCCCGAGATCAACTGCGTTGTGGCCACCTGGGCTATCCTGGGAGTCCCCAATCGGGGTGTCCCCACCCGCTTTCGTTGCCGTTGATACAGTCCCCAGAAAAGTTACTACCCAGTCCCCGAACGGCTGAAGGCCGAAGCCAAGTGAGGATCGACATCAATGACGGAGGTAGTCGGCATGTAAACAATGCGGGTGGCACACCAAACGAAGAGGTGGGTGACAGTTGGCAGAGTGAACGATCATCTGGCTCATACGGACCGCGGAAACTGTCCGATGAAGATGCCGGTATGACTGTGTCAAAGTTCGTTCAAATGACAACCGAAGGTACCAATGAGATCCACAATGAAACGGGGGCCAACGAAGGGGCCGACGGAGCGGCTCCCAGGACGACAAGCTCCCAGGCTACAAGTAAAACGGGCCCAAGGAGACACCCTCGTATTTCATTACCGACGCGCAAGAATGGACCTTTGCGACCGAACCCTTTCAGTAGTCACCAATCTGTTTTAGTGCCGAGGAACCGGCTAGCCGGTGGCTTTGATAGTCACCAATCCGGTGGTAGTCCCCCTGGATGTTCCGTGAGCGTCTCAGAAAGTGTGAGCTTTTCTACTCCGGATCGAGGAGGAGACCGTGCAGGAGACCGAGAAAAAGTTATCGACGAACGCGTCCAAGATCGTCGTGTGCTGGATGAATTCAGCGTCACCCGAGTGAGAATGAAGAAGTCGCGGTCTTACTTGAATGTGGCGCCTGCTACAAACCTTTGTGTCAGCCCGGACGCAGCCAAACTGGCAGCAAGCCATGGACTTGTATCCAATCCCAACTTTGTAACTTTTCAAGGGCCAAGTCTTACCCGAGGGCCAAGCGAGAGCGAGAAAAAAAATCCAGTAGAAGATTCCCCTACAAAGAGCACGCCGGTTCGGCTAGTAGATGATACAGACCAGGAGTACCGGCCCAGTCCGAAGCAGGTCAGCATAATACTCAATAGTTGTGCGTCGCGAAATGGAGAAGACGACGGGCAAGTAGAACCGTCATTGGTCTCAAATAATTCGATAGACCACCTACATGGGGCAAATCGGCAAAAACCTCGAGTGGAATTGACTAGCAGCAATAATGGAAGTGTCCATTTGACTAGCGACTGTACTGGCATGGCCACCGTTGGGAGTGGATATGAGCCACTGGGTCGAACCCCTGATAGTTGTCGACGAAAGCGGAAGACGAAACTATCTCCTGAAGACACGTCTTCAGGCGGTGGGCATGCTCACGGGTCCGTGCCGTTAGAGCAGTCACGTGAGAGGTCAATCCGGCCGGTTCCATCCTTGCGGCACTTGGTGCCTGCATCAAGTTCTTCGCCGCGGATCGCGGAGATCTTCGAGAGTATAGAGACGTGGAAAAGTTTGGATACTTCCCGAACTCACGAAGATATGCGGACACAGGAGGGTGCTCGGATTGATATGATCCATGGCGACCTGATTCCAACCGGTCGTTTGCATCCGGAGGTAGAGGGTGTGCCACCAGTGTTCACATTTCCCGGTCGAGAGTCCGGACGCAGGTCGGAAGTGATGCGCAGTAACTACCGCAGTAGTGAACCAAGTAGCAGCGACCACAGTATACTGGATCGCAGCTTATTGGACCGTAGCTTATTGGAGCGACGACGTAAATCGGTTGATGACGAAAGCGGTTCCGAATTTGAAGGGGACGTCGAAGCGCGAGACGAGGACCAGAGTGAGTCTTATGAATTGATGGGTGTCATTCTGCCCTTCGCTTTATGTGCGTGGGTAGAAAAATGTTTCGGTCGTGTGTTCTTCATCATGGTCCAAAAGGATGACTGGAGCCAGGCGGAGACGATGCTCTGGACCGTGGGTAGCACGTTACTTGGTAAGACCCTTGCACTACTCCTGGGATACGTAGGAACCAAATATATGGGACCCAAGCAGGCCACAATGCTTTCCTGCGTCTGGGGAGCCTTTCTTTGGTTTGGCATCGAACTCGCCTTCGTTACCGTCCGCGTTACCGCCGTCGATGATGCCATCACCAAGTACCCTTATACCTGCCTCTTCTACAACGCTACATTCGCCTTCGGATCCTCGCTTGTCATTGTGCCCGTGCTCCTCATCATTGCCGGCATCTGCCATGACAAGAACGAATATTACCGCTGCTACCTCTTCAGTAGACTACTCACCGTCTCCATCATCGTTCAATTCACCGGACACTTCTTCCAAGCTCTCAGCATACCTTACCAACTCTCCGCCTGCACCGTCCTCTACGTCATAGGTATCTTCCCTTGCTCCGACACCTTGCTCCGACACCTTGCTCCGACAACTTGCTCCGGCAACTTGCTCCGACACCTTGCTCCGACACCTTGCTCCGACACCTTGTTCCGACACCTTGCTCCGACACCCGCAAACACTTTCCGTCGTAGTGCTCCACTTGATTCGGACACGGACCCCGAGGATACAGTGGATCCACTACGAAGACCACACGCCCCTAAGCCGGGTGCGCGCCGCGATCGTGGCTCCCGGTGATGGGACCGACGGCCGGTCCGTTGCCAGTCGTCAAGCAGGCTCTTCCATTCTTGCTGTTCTAGAACGTCAAACCATTGCCAACTTTGTTTGATCACCCCTGCCTGCTGCGGTTCTTTTTTCCCATCTCACCGACCCCGACCCGACCCGACCTTTTGCCAGGCCCTTTGCCCGACCTTTTGCCTGACCTTTTGCCAGGCCCTTTGCCTGACCTTTTGCCAGACCTTTTGCCAGGCCCTTTGCCCTAGCCCTTCCCTTGACTCTGGGTGTCTCTGCGACTTGAAATAACATTGAGCTAGAACTGGCTAGGGGGTGCTATGTTGTTTTTTGGGGGTAAGCTGACAGCACGCATACGGTAGCCGTGTTGACACGGCTGTATGTTATGACGGCTGTGTCGTATTAGTCATTGTAAAGGCCCACGGTTGTCCGTGGTTGCCCGTGGTTGGCCTACTGGACCTGACCACGATTGGACAATTAGTTCGCTCATCGAGTCAGGGAATTACGGTTGTTCTCTCTAAAGTGCCAGCGTGACTTTTATATTCGGAAGGCGAGTCCTCTTTTAATCCTAGGAGTCTGCAGACGTTGGCAGAAATCTGTTGGTGTTGATCGGCGTGGAACTTGGAACTCCAGAGGCTAAGGTGATCGTCGGTGAATCTGCGACCGGCCACGGCGCCATTTGCCTCGGGACCGAGCTGGCCCCCGATGAGAGCGAGGAGTAGCGCTTCCCAGCAGTAGTCAATGTAGCCACGTTTCAGTCGGAGTAACAGTGTGCTACCGTTTGCGTTCGCTTCGTCTTCCCACATCGGCCTGATGCCTTCGCGGAACAGGTGGTACTCCGTACCCTTCGGCAAGTTCGATGGCCGAATGCAGTGTGAATACAACGCCCAGAATGCCTCAGCCGTCGATACACTACCCAAGGGAATTAAGCATTGCTCGAACGTCTCCGTCGTTTTCGCCGACGCATTCGTGTACCATAAAGTCCAGTTGCAGGACAACTTCAAACTCAACCGCATCGGCAACTGCTCCACTTCGCTTCGTCTGAAAAACATGACCATTACACCAGGATGACCGGGTTGGGCAGGGAGGAGCCCCCACCGGGGAGGAGCCACCACCGACGACCCTGCATGTTCAGTCCTTCACCGAAACCGTGCCCTGCCCCTATTCAGTGCACCCCTTACTCTTCAGTCATTTTTGCTCGCGAAAAAGATGTCCCGCGTCGTGGTGTTTGCGAAGAAGGGTACGACCGCATTTGCACCGTCATTGAACGTACCAGATTCTTTGTAGGCGCTCAATGGGTCGGCCTCGCGGGCTCCATACTCACCATGCTGATTGGCTGCATACATGTATTTCACTCGGGTGCCGCCCTGGACTGGCCCGATCAAGACGTACCGTTTTTGACGGACACTGCGAAAACGATTTGGAGAGATAAGCTGTTCAGTCTGCGGCCCGACGTCTTCGGTACACACCCGCCCACATTCTTCACCCGCCCACATTCTTCACCCGCCCACATTCTTCACAATCTGTCTGTAGTGGAATCCTGGACGCCCCTGGTGACGGGAGTTTGCGGCGTCCTCTGTCACGTCGTTCAGTTTCCGCGGCTGCACTGTATCACCAAGTCGTACTTCAATTACTTCGTAAGCAACAGTCAAGTACCCTACCAAGTCAAGTACCCTACCAAGTCAAGTATTAGCACGGTATTGTCTCTTTAGTGGTTCTTAATGTTCCAAGGTTTGTTTGCAACCATCTCATATTGCGGGGGACTGGGGATTTTGTTCGGAATTCCGGTGTTCACGAGTGCGCTGCTTGCTTTCATTGGATTGCTGTTTGACGAGGGCGATGCGTCCCTCAAGTTCAACTGGAAGCTCGGCGGCGGAGGTGGGAAGCACCCTCCACAAGACGACCTCTTCATGGGCGCCAACCGCCATGTCTAGTCCCATCCCAACCCGTACGTAGCTTCCATGTGCAGCCCTCCGACGCACGTGTGTGCAGCCCTCCGACGCACGTGTGTGCAGCCCTCCGACGCACGTGTGTGCAGCCCTCCGACGCACCTGTGTGCAGCCCTCCGACGCACCTGTGTGCAGCCCTCCGACGCACCTGTGTGCAGCCTGTGTAGCCGTCAACCTGGACAGCCCTAGGTCTATGTGTGAGTGGCTATGACACACCAGTGTCCAGCACCAGCGCCCAGCACCCATCCCTCAGGCAAGAAGGCCCGTGGTTTAGCCCTCACGTGGAGCGACACATGGTTCATCCCTCACGCATGACATGGCTCAGCGGAGCGGCACGTGACTCGGCTCCCTACCCGACGGACTGCACTCTGGTGGAGCTGTACTCCTCAGAGGCGCGACTTGATCGTCCGGCCGCTGCGACTGATTGTCGCCCGGCGAGGTGCGGTTTGGCCGCAACGCAGGTTCGGTCATGCGCTGCTTCCTGGTCCCGATTGTTCAGCTTGTATCGACTGGTTCAGCTGGTTCTAGGTGGCTCAGCCAGCTGGTCCCGAGTATTCGGCTGGTCCCGAGTATTCGGCTGGTCCCGGGTGTTCGGTTGGTCCCGGGTATACGCTGCCGCTAACTAATCCGGAGTGCTGCGATCGAGTGGGTTGCAAGACCTCGTTGTTGCAAACCTCGTTGTTGCAAAGCTTTAGTTGTCATTGACGCTAGCCTGTTATCACTAGCGCAGTGTCGGTGGTCCTGCCACCCACGAGCAGTGGTGGTGCCACCCTCCAGGTCCCCACCGGAGCTCTCTACCGGAGCTCCCCGCAGCAGTTGCTTACTGGAGCTCGCCAGCAAATGCGGTATCCATCAAATGCGACATCAGGTTCCGGCTCCAGGGTCCCGGGTGCGCAGTGCCTCAGCCTCGGCCTGTTTCCGGAGCAGTAGTTGGTGCCACCGGAAGGCGTCAGCTCGCCCTAGTTCGAAAAGCTCTGTCACCACCGTAGACTCGTATGCAGGGGTCAGCGCCAGCTGCAACAGGCGTCCCCAGGAGAAACGGCAGAACGGCAGCGAAGATGTCTGGCTTACGGCCACTGGCGCCTGCTCTACGGGCGCCAGCTCTACCGGGAGGAGACATGACTGGTTGTGTGCGAAACGACTGTGAGTGTGCGGCACACTTTGAGTGTGCGGCACACTGTGTGTTGGTGGCGTAAGGTTACCTTCTGCGGTGGGTCTTTTTTTGAGGCTGATACCCCAAGGTTGGAGAGGTTTGACTTCGTCGAGCGACATTTCTCCATGGCCCATGAGTCTGCGGGTAAGGCCATTCCACAGCGTCTTGGGGCTGGTGAGGAGCTGCACAACATTTTCTGCTCCGGGAATCATGCCTTCAAGTTCAGCCCCCTGTTTAATACTGGAGTCGTGTTTCTCGATCGTGGGCATATTTTCAGAAAGCTGTTCGGCAATGGCCGCTTCGAACGACTCCCTTACGCGCACGGAAGGCAACTTGTCCGTCGGCCGCGATTGCAACAGGCCCTGGGGTTCTACTTGCTCGCGCTTGTCTACCTTCTCACCCACTGTCTCCGCAGGGTGTGAGGGACTCAATGGCCTGCCTCCTGCGTCCACGTCCACCTCAGCAGGCATGGCGCCCAGCGGTGTGCTCACGTGAGGCAACTGGAAAACCGCTGTCTGCCCGTCTCCGGTCTGTCCGTCTCCGGTCTGTCCGTCTCCGGTCTGTCCGTCTCCGGTCTGTCCGTCTCCGGTCTGCCCGTCTCCGGTCTGCCCCTTCCCGGAGGGTCCCCGAGATGCACTAGGCTCCAAGTCTGGTTCGAGGTATTGTTCCAGGCCTGGTTCCAAGTCTGGTTCAGCGTCCTGGTCGTCCCGTTGGCTACCAAGTTGACTGCCGGCGGACTCACCGGTGATGTAGCGGAGAGGTTGGGCTGTGCCGGGTGCAAAGGGGTCAAGTCGCGATGATGTCAGGCCGTGAGGATGTGGGGTGCCGCTGCGGTGGCAAGGGCTAGTGGTACGACTGCGCGTGCCGGGTTGGGTGGCAGCGTTATTCCGGCGGACATCGGAGCTTTCGGCGCGTTTGCAGGAGACGCTGTTTCTGCGTCGTCTAGAGCCCCTTTTGTGAGATCGTGCGGAGGCAGCGGTGGTGGTGTATTCGCGATGGGTGATGAATTTGTCGGGGTGTCCTGAGGGTAGTTGATGTCTTTTTTCGCCGACATCTTCAGGTTGCACGGCTGGGTATGCGACTGTGTACTCTACAAATTCCTGGACGGCCTTTACGGGGATTTCATTATCGAACTGGCAGAGGTCAGGGGCGATGTAAGCGAGGGGCGTGGCGCCGTGGCCGAGGATTTTTGTAGCTTCGAAGGGCATGACCTTCACGTGCTGTTTGACCGGAGGCTCCGGAAAGGGTGGGCAGCCGAAGTTTTTGACGTCGCTAAAGTAGCCATCTACAGCCCAGTCGCCGCGGACGCTGACCCAGGGTTTGTTGGTGAAGTACATTGGGATATTGCAGCTGCCCAGGAGGCAGCTGATGACGTCCTGTTTGTCGGCAAACCGGTGGCAGAAACGGGCCTTGAGTAGGGGTCCCTTCAGCGCCGTGTAGATAACGTAAGCAGGCTGCGCCCTAGAGTTAAGTGCATCATGACAATCAGCGGGTAGACAGCGCTCCAGACCTTTACGGACATGTTTCTTCATCTTGCCGCGGGTACCGTGTAACGTGAACTCCGTCTCCAATTGGTACAACATTTTCCACACCGCATTTGCCTCAAGGTCCAAAGCGACACATACCGCTACCAACGCGCCCGCACTGCTCCCCATTAACGGTGTGTGCTCCGTAATGTGACCCACATGTCGTAAATACGTAGCTACGCCGTAATGATATGGGAATAACAGACCAGCCGGCGCAAATGAAAATCCAAAGGGCGCACTCCCTGGACTCTTTAACAACGATGGCGTCGATCGTGGCAACCGTCGTGCTCGGGAACCCTCCGACGCCGGGGGAGATGGGTCATCCTCACCCGGGATATCCCGTACCGCTTGTGGACTCAACAAACTCATCATCTGACCCGGAAGACTCGCTACAAAATCGCCCAGTCGCGCCGCCTGTGTCAACAACGGAACGTCCACCACACTCGTTGGCACCTCCGTATCCGACCGACTTGCAACCAGACTCGACCCTCTCTCACCAATCACGTTCGGCCTCGCAACTACGTCCCGCCCCGTAACTATCTCTGGACTCCCAATTGTCTCCCGACCCGCTGTCGCGTCGGGCATCTCGTTCGCTGCAGCCACCGTACCCGCATCACTCCGGTCCGTAATCCGGTCCGTAGTGCCATGGGTCGCCTTCACTCTCTCGGTATTCACCATATCCGCGACTGTAGCGTCTAGTCCCTCGCCAGCGACAGCGATAGCTGCGCTGGCCTTGCTGTTATCGCTGCCTTGTACCATCTGCGGGGTCTTGGCTGGGCTCTTAGCTGGGGTGTCAATTGGGGTCTTTATTGGGGTCTTTATTGGGGTCTTGGCTGGAGACTTGGCCGGTGTGCTCACGATTGGCGAGGGATGCTCTGCACCCCTGTGGCCCTTGGTCTCATTCATTAAATATGGACTGGATAAGTTTTGATGACGCTGTAGCAAACCTCGAAGCGTGCTGGAGATCCACATTGAAGGTGGTTGCCACGGAAGCGGGCGCAACATTGCCTGCAAAGTATACATTGTTTAATTGGCCCGGCTGTCTTGCGCAAGACCCGGCCCAAACCATGATCCCCTTTTACACTCGGCAACTCTCCGCGATTGCTGTTCAAGACTCGGCCAGGGCACTGGGGGCCAATGCACTGTACAGCAGCCCGGGGAGTGTGCTGGACGACGCAGGGAAGGGCAGATTTGCTCAGTTGTTTGAACGAGCGTGTGAAACTGTAGCCCCACACGCGTGTGTGCTCGAATGGCTGAGAGAAGAAGCCAACAAGAAGGCAGCCAACAAGAGGGCAGCCAACAAGAGGGCAGCGTGCCAGGATGGGTCCGGGTCAGGGGCCGGGTCAGGAGCAACAGCTAACTTGGGTTTGATTGTCATGGACCGGGCTCTGTTTCGAAAGATTATTAAGACGTGGGACCAGACGTGGTTGGAGGACGAGTTCGAGGTATGTGACATCAATCAGTTGCACCAGGCGAGTCTTGAAGCCAGTCGAATTATCGTTCGAACACTCCCAGCCGGTTCAAGCATACAGATTGGCGGCGGGCGAGCTGTCAATTTACTCCACGTGGATCAGGTTGTTGCTTGCTGCCAAGAAATCCCAGTCCAGTGCAAGACCATGGACCGGGTGCTAACCAGCTGCCCTCTGACAAAGCAGGCTTGGCGAAACGGGCAGCTGAGGCTCCCGGAAAAAATCCGAATAGAAGGCGTTGTTATACACGGGTTCAAAAGAGGATCGACACAATTAGGTTGTCCCACCGCCAATGTCGGAACCCCAACAACCGGAGAGAACATAACCATTCCCTTTAACAAGCTTGTTACCCCAGGAACGTACTTTGGCACATGCATCATTGATTCGCCCGCCAAGATTCCAAAAGCTGAAAACCGGAAGGCGGACGAGCGGAAGGGTGAGGAAGTCGATGACGGAATAGTCGGTACGTATATGTGCGTCATATCGGTTGGCTACTCGCCGTACTACGACAATGCTGAGGCCACGATCGAAGTACATGTGTTCCACAATTTCCCAAAGGACTTTTACGGGTTCGCAATTGCCGTCAACATCACATCCTTTCTAAGACCCGAGTCGAATTTTGAGAGCCTCCGCGACTTAATCTTTGCCATTCAAATGGACTGCGAAACGGCACTAGAGTAAGCACCTTTTTTCAAGACATGCAAATTAGAGCACGCAGCGAAATAACCCCGAACATTTCGTTCAAGACGTCGTGGGTGCCAGGACGTCGTGGACGGTACGGTCGCTGGCGGTCGCTGACGGTTCAGGACTCAATCTTATTTATTTTTGTGATGATTGGAAAGACTTTGATTGTAGCTTGTTGTATGGCTGCGTACCCACCAGTGGCACACTTCGATCCGACGTCCGTGTGTTCGGGGGCGAAGACTGACGATGAGGTAGCTACATGTGTAATCGAGAGTGTGGAGAATGGTACGGAGTTTAATTACTTCTTGCCGAAGAAGTTTGAGTCGTTGACGAAGCCGACAGTGTGCAATGGCTCAGATAGCCGTACGTTCCTTTCGGTAGATTACAAGCAGCAAAAGGTGACGGCTGATAACAAAGGACTGCGCATGCCGCCGTATTCCGTTACTCTCCATCACCTTCCGGCGAGCGTGTCTGCCGGGGGGACTGTCGGCTCTTGTGTACCCAAACTCTACATCGCCGACCCGACCAAATCGTGTCCTACAACCGGCGAGCTCGCC